GCATTGTTACAGTTGCTAGGTGACATGACGTAAGGATGGGAGGCTAGATAGTCCAAATTCACAGCCTCTTTTTTTTCCGGTCTTCCCGGTCTACCAAGGACCCGGCCCACCTCGATCGGGTAGTCTGGGTCCTCCGGAGGACCCGGCCTGTCGTTTTGGACACAGCCTATAACACATGCTGTATATACACACAGATAGTTGAAAGAAAAAGTTTATTTTACCATATTATTTTAACTAAAAAAATGTTATTTTTATTAACAACGTGGTCAAACCAAGTAAAAGAAAGTATACTAAAATTACGTTGTCAAAATACAACACAAAAACCAAGGCTTAAAGCATCATTTTGAAAACATTGTTTAGAAATACAGGTCAAAGGAACGGTTGTCCTTGCCTTATTGAGACTCCACTCTATGTTTTCTGAGGCACACTGGAATAAATTTAGATGGATAAAAATATTACTTCATGTGAAAAATAAATATATTTACTGTTACAGAGCTTTTGTAAGCAATCCACAAAGCAAATGTCAGGSTATTTTTCTTTCTTTTTACTTTTGCTTAATAAATTTAGATAAATAACAATGTGTCTGTTGTGTAAATATTGCGTACTTACTGTTTTGATCCATTTTTTGTCAGTACTAATTCTGAACTAAACACAATGCTAAACATAGCCTTCTTATTTAAAAGAAAAAAAACTTACCAATGAAATGTTATGAGGTCCGAACATTTTCCACTACGACTGCTGCAAGTCTTCGCTGCACAGTGACACGGCATCGTGTGTTCAATGGTTGAATGACTGTGTCAAGATGGAGTCGCGTTTAGCACACCCAAAGTCACGTGATAGCTCCTTTAGTGAATATACCTCATTGGGCAGCACATTGGCTGTGTCCAAAACGACAGGCCGGGTCCTCYGGAGGACCCAGACTACCCTGTCTCGGCGGGCCGGGTCCTTGGTAGACCGGGAAGACCGGAAAAAAAGAGTCTGTGAATTTGGACGGTCTCTAGCCTCCTCTCCTTACCCCGGCGTACGTCATGTCACCTAGCAACTGTGACGACCCTAAACAAGCAAACTTAAATTAAAATTAGAAAAATATCAATACATTAGCATTATTAATATCACAAAACTATAAAATTAACTTAAAAGTATCGTTTGAAGAACTAATTGACCTGCTGAAGGTGCATGTTTATTGCACTGTCGTTTTGGACACACCCCTTGTATAATAATTAACAARTATGGCAGGCCTTTGTGCCATATAATTTTAAAATACGGCAGGTCATTGTATCATAATAATTACTGTAATGCAAACCAATTAAAATGTTTAGTAGATAGTTGTATCAGTTATCATAACTGTGAATTTTGCAGCAGGCCATTGTATCATATAACTGAGTATGGCAGGCTGTTGTGCCATATAATTAAAAAATATACACCATATATTTTTTAGTTTCAGATTTTTCGATTTATTTCTTTCAGTTTCAAARTAAAAATTTTAAGGCTGCAGTTCATCTCCATGGAGGTGAGCTCCTTCTCCTGAGCGGGTCGCAGCTGTTTCATTGTTTGCCTTTTTGTGAGAAACTTGTGTAACGGTTGTGCTTTTTGAAGCCGTTATCTGAGCAGACCTGTTCCTCCTGAAACAGGTTTCTGGTTGCAGGGTGGTCCTGTTCTTTAGTTCTGTTTGTTCGTCACACGTTTAGCCCCTCATCATCACACTTCCACCTCCGTGCACTGCATTGTTTTCTCTGTGGAGGGCTCAGGTTCTGTTCCTGGTCTCTGGCTCCGTTGGATCCGTTCTGAAGCTGGTGGTTTTCCAGATCTGCGTCTCAAACTGAACGCAGTGTTTCAGCAGGATGACCTCCCGTCGGTTCACATTCTGTTGCCCACAGATGATAAAAGTGTTGTTTTGTAATTTTTGCTGAATTTTTGAGGTTTCTCAACTCTTCTTCTGTCGTCGTTTACAAGAAAGCGCAGTTCAGAGTGTGAAGCTCTGCAGCTCATTCAAACCAAAGTGGTTCGGTTTAAAACAGCTGTCTAATGTAAACTACTGTAYGTTTTAAATTAAACACAAACATGTGAGAAATGACTTGTTTATTTTAGAAAACGTGCTAAAATATACACAGATTTGTTGGTTCCCTTAAACTTTTAACCTGCACAGGCTGTCGGGCCTGAAGTCCCTGAAAAAGCAAATTAAATCAAGTCCTGCTCCTGAACCCTGTGGAGTAAATTCACACGCCTGGTCTCTTTTCAAAGCTATTAATCTGAATTTTTAACTTCACCAGTCATAATTATTGTAACTGTAACTAGTATTTAATTATGGAAGGTAAAATACAATAAAATCACAAGATTCTTTCTCACTTGGGTATTTTAAATCTTTAGGTGTAAAAAATGGATGTATCAAGGGAAAAAATATACCAGTTGGGCTACAATATATATTCTCAACTATTACCATATAAATTTGATGAGCTTAAAAAATTAACATTTGAGACAGTCTAACCCAGCATGTCCATCATACTTGGACAGGTCTTTGACAAATGTCCAAACTGGACAAATATTTCCAAATTCTAAATGATTCAACACGGAGATTTCACTGAGGGCTCAAATGAAAGGTAAACCCCATAAATCAWATTCTACCATCCATATTTACTCACAGATGATTAAAATACCAACAAAAAAAAAGACAATAATCAGCAATATGAATCTGAGCAGCCATCCCCACCAACAAACAGACGAAGTATGAAAACAAACAAATAAATCCTCAGTTTCTTCAAAACATTACATCCACACAGCTCATTAGCAGAAAAATAAATGTATTTTAATAACTTTTGCTGCATAACTTGTTTTTCTGACAAAAAGTAATCTAAAATGGCGGCCATAACAAATATATAATTCTTTCTTTTATGACTTTTCCTGGCCACAAAAATCACTCATCTTTGTCTTGAAGCACTCAAAACACATCATGACAAATCTGTTTCCTCTTTAACACCAGCTTTAGTCAGTTAAAGGTAAAAAAAACACAATAAAAGTGTTTTCACCACTTGGAGGACAAAATGGATGCTGCAGTTTGYATCTCTGCACAACTGTGTCATTTTGTTTGTGCTGCTATTGTTTTGAAGATATTAATAAAAGTTTCATTAGGTCATCTGAGGTCAGCCAGCCCCCTCACATTACCCAAAYACCCAAACTTTTATTAATGTCTTTAAAACGATACCCGCACAAACAAATCTTTGCTGCACAACCGTAGCACAAACTTTTGACACCAGTGTTGTTAGATTTGAACCGGGTGGGGGGGATTTATCAATATT